TCTGTATCAGGCTGTAAACATGTTTACCATATGAACTATGAACTATGATCATGAAGCATTGACCATTCAAAGCAAACACTGCTGTGTTTAAAGCAGAGCACTCACTCTGTATTTGCAGAGTGAGCCAACAAACCTGAGTGTTGGTGCAGGTCTGTGAAGTCAGAGCAACATGAGAGTGCAGAGCTGGGTCTTCACGTGGTCTTCACTTGTGTTTTATTGTGTGCTGATGCTGAGCTGGGCTCTAAGGCCAGCAGGAGCACATTTTTCCACAGGTGAGTCCCTTTCACTTTAAATCTGAATAAACACGTCTGTAATTCTTCCATCGTGACGTTTTCTCCTTGGCTGTCATTTGTTCTTCTGTTTGTCACTAAGCTGAGCTACAGTCTGCAAAACCTGCAGGAAGAAGTAAATTCATTTCACCTTCCTCTTTGTTTCTGATGCACAGTCAGAAAAACTAAACCGAGGGAGTTTTCCAGCTCTGGGATAAATTAAGTTCATCTATCGTCCACAGTTAAAGAGCTTTATTTGGAAAGTATGCTGGAGGGCAAACACTCCTGACTCCCTCGCACTTTCTGTGCTGTTGTTATGTAGCAGTACTTTTGCATCTTCATGCTCTCTGTGCACCACAGTCACAGGACGGCCGATCTGATTAAAAGCTGCACAAGCCTGTCAGTGGGTCAGTGTTTGCGACAGCAGTCTGTCAATCATTGAACACAAACACTTTAAACTCCATCACAGAGCCAGTCGCTAAACTCAATAGATTCTGTACTCAGAGCAGCGTGCACAGTAAATAAAAAAGCATCTTTATTTTAAAAACGGGAGCATTCACTCGGTTTACACGATGTAGGACAAAACGTAAAAAACATTCAAAATAGCCGCTGGCGTTGAGAAGAGCGAGCTAGAACAATCAAACACCAACATTTCTGATAAAGTTAAGCTCGAGTTGTTGCACAGCGGCTAGATTTCTACAAACCTCTGTCAGCATGGAGGCGCTGTGCAGCCCTCTCAGGCTGCTGGAAGGTTGAAATATTCGGTGAGTTTTACTTCCAGCAGCAGAGTCATCGTGTCCTCCTGCAGTGTCGCAGCACGTCTGATTCTTGTTGCCGATGATTTCGTTGCAGCTTCCAATGATGTGAGGTTGGTTGGCAAAGGGAACCGTTGTGCCGGCGAGCTGAGGTTCAAGCACGAGGCAGAGTGGAGACAGCTGAGCAAACAGCGCACCTGGAGCCTGAAGGAGGCCGCCGTGGCGTGCAGACAGCTCGACTGCGGCTCTGCTGTTTCAGTCAAAAACGTCTGGCACCGGCCCAAAGTTCTGCGCGTCTGGAGCTTTTATTCGGACTGTGACGGCTCTGAGCGAGCGCTCACGGACTGCGGAACGGTGAGGAAGGGCCTCTCAGATTTCACCACTGAGGTGATCTGCTCAGGTGAGAACAGCACGGCATTCGTTGTACAGTGAGCTGAGGGTCAGTTCAGCTGCAGGTGCGATGGACGGATTTTGTTCACATAGGTCAAAGGTCAAAGGTCTGAGACCGCCAGTAAAGGTTCCTCTCTATGGTCTTACCAGTTTTCTTTTGAACAAACATGTTTTTACATTATAGTCCAGAGAGTAGGCCAGACAGTGGGAGGCAGTGACACAGGAAGTCACACAAAGGTGTGGGCGGAGTTTAACCCATCCTCCAGCAGTAGTCTTCATCAGTGGCCACCAGGGGGCGACTCATCCAGCTGTAAAAAGAATTATACGTATATAAAAAGCATCTGTGAATCATGACCTCAGTAAACACTTTGCTGATGAGGTCAGGAGGTCAAACTTCACGCCTCACGCTGTGATTGTCGAGTTACCTTCACACGATGCCGCCTGTTTCGCCACATAACTGCATAACATTGATGTCAAAGCACCAAGATGGCCAAAAGCTGGTGAGAATGCTTCAAGTGTTTCATGTAGTTTGTGGGTTTCATCCTGCAGCATTTACATGTCATGATCAGAGGTTAAGGCGGCTGCAGTCTCATTGAATTATCGCCGCAGACGCAGAATAAGACGAGTTTTTACTGGTGTTAAATCCAGTAAAGTTAACCTCAACGCTCACGTCTGCAGGATTAATCTTTATTACTCATTCTATCCACCCACAATGTTTCTGCTCAGAAGGGAAACTCACACAAATACATAAGTAATAAGGTGGTAATAACACCTCTTTCAGTCACATTAGCCCCGCCCCTCCCTAATAAAGGTTTTGCACCATCAGCTCATAAATCTGATCCAATAACTTGAAACCCGACGCGTCTTTGTTTTCTACGACACAGTTCGAGTGTTTAAAGCGCGTGCGCTCATCAGGTGTATGATGATGTCATTACAGACGTGCTGCCTGCTCCTGACATCAGTTTCTACACTGACGGCAGTGAGACTTCTCCAACTGGGAACCAAACGCAGGCCGTGGTGTGGAAGGCCCACTCTTTCAGCATCAGCTGCTCTGTGGAGCCACGATACAGCGACGGCACCTTTACCCTCAGCTTCACCGGCGCACACCAAAACCGCAGCTTGACCCAAGCAGCGTTCAATTACTCGGCCAGCTTCTGGTTCAGAGCTGCCAATCAAACACACGAGGGGACCTACAGCTGCGCCTATCGCAACACTGTCTTCAGCCACAGCTTCTCATCTGAGGGCAGGAGGCTCTCGCTCACTGTCAGAGGTACAAAGACACTGGCTGGATGGCCGTGGCTACTTCAGCTCACCTCTCACCCCCTCACCCACCCAGTTACTTGTCACGCAGTTTATGGTGTTGTGATGCGAATATGTGTGTGCTCTCTGTGCAGAGGTTTGTGTTTGTTTTGTTCATGTGCTGATCTCCCATAAGGACACCAGCATGACTACAGGTCTTTTTTTCCCACATGTAGCTCAAAACCTTACAAAAACATGTTTTTTAGAGTTTTTACATTTTAGTAAAATATTTTGTTCATATTTAAAACACAATTTTAGATGCCACCTCTCACCCTCGTCTCTGTCAGCGTCTCTTCTTCCTCGTGGCGTTGGTCAGGTGTAACTGCAGAGTGGATTTTGGCCCCTCCTCATTTTGACGTGTCTGTCTCTAACAGATGATTCAGATGTGATTTTGGACGATGGCGTGCTCAGAGCCAGAGAGGACTCCGCTGCCTGTGCTGGGAAGCTTCTCATCCACAACGGGAACGAAACCAAACCGGTGAGCGCAGAGTCCACAGTCTGGGACCTGAACCACGCGGGCATAGTGTGCAGACAGCTGGGCTGCGACATGGCTGTTTCCACCAAAGCCGTCAACCTTCCCAACAAAACGCCGATGTGGCGTTTTTTCTCTGACTGCCTTGGAAGAGAGTCTGCGCTGATGGAGTGCGGAGCTGTAAATCCACGGCTTTCCTCCTCGGTCATTCAGGTGAACTGTGCAGGTGAGATGTTTGAAGCGGTTTGCTGTGGGTGTCGTCTGCTCGTTCAGTTTCTCGTTTCCTGGTAAATGATGTACTCGTGGCACGACTCAGTCCTGCCTGACAGCTGTCACACTTTAGGAACAGTCACAGCTGTGGATCACTTTCACACATCAACGTCAAACAACATTTGAATGAAGTTTAGGATGTTTTTTGTAGAGCAGCACACAACAGGAAGTCGTCAGCTTCAGATTCACTGACATCATCCTGAGTTCAGACATTTCCCCCTGATCTGTTGGGAAGTCTGGGATAAACTATCCGAGCGAGGGTGCAAACGAGGGTGCGTCTCCAAAGTTCTCAGCCGAGGGTCTGAAAACTTCTGTAAACTTCACATTTGATCATTTTCAATTTTAAGATACTTTGAAAATTTCCTGCATCGTTACAAGAAAGCATCACATTTCATTTTCCTGACATCTGATGCATTCTGGCTCAACGTAGACTGTAACCCCCCCACACAGCAGCGTTTTCATTTGACCCATTAATGCGCTCAACCTGTCAGACCTGAAGCCCACCTACGTCACAGACATGGACACAGATGTGGTTCCACATCAGACTGAAACTCTTCTCTGTTTTGCCGTCTTCATCAGGGCGCCGCGGGTGAGAGCCGAGGACACAACGCTGGACCAGACAATCGACCGCAGAGGCGCCGACAGACGGACGGAGTATTCTGGGTCATGGCTCAAACTCTGGGTTTAATAAGGAGAAATATCCGCCCTCTAAGCTACCAATAAAAAGCGCTCATGATAAAAAAAAAACAAAAAACAACAACTTATTTTTTGCTATTTAAATTAAATAAACTGAGTCACAGGTACTGGGCTGGATCCAGAAACCAGTCCTCGACAATTTTACAAGAAAACAGATTATGATCTGAGTCCGCTCATGAAGTGCTCCTCCCCCAAGTTTGTCCTGTGGGCGTTTGCCAGAGACCTGATTGGTCAGTTGGCATCAGGCCTGTTTGTTGGTTTCTTATCTAAAACCCTGATAAGAGGTGACTGACGTGGGGAAACCCTGAGGTTCCCTCACAGAAAGCCCACACTCTGTGACCTTCGTATGCTTTACCTGTGAATTACTCACCTGGGCAGAATGTCGTTTCTTCCTGATGTTGTTTCTCATGCAAATCAAAAATATCAGTGAATTAACCACAACAACATTTAACGTCACATTTTTGCATAACTGATGGTTTTTGGATCTGCGATTGGACGGAATCGTCCGGAGCGTTTGCACGTGTGCAGAAAGAGCCGAGATCTTATATAATAGAAATACTTTCTTTAATCTGAAGGTTCATCACAGACATATTCGTAAACAAGATACTTAAAAATGCAGATTTCATTAACTTTTGTCCCCATTCAGACGCTGAGTGTCGCTGTCTC